CTTATCCCCTTGCTGTGGGCAGAGATGAGATGGTTGGGGTGCCGGCGGATGAACCGGTCAACCTAGCTTTCTGAAACCGGCTTTCTAGCCAAATCTGAAGCAAAGCGTTGTATCATTTCCTTTGTAGGTGGCAAACGTCGTTCGGTAAGCGTATTGATGTATCGTACAAGCTCCTTCTCGTGTTGTGGATGGAGGGAGAGGTTGCGCACGCCATAGGCCTCAGTTTCGCCGCGGTGTCGTCTCATCAACGTCATTCGTGCTACACCATGCTTTTTCGCGATTGCTTGATACGAGAATTTATCTCCTAGTTCTCGCGATTCGATTTCTGCAATCGCTTCTTAAATCAGGTCTATATTGGTTAAGTTTTGACGCGTTGAAGTTTTGTTGTTGTGGTGGTGGGGGTGCTCAACTGGCGATGGTGCTCATCTGGTGCACGGGCACTGTAGTCTTGGCATTAGAGCCCAAGCTCTGTAAGAAAATTCTCACAGGCGTGAGATAACAAAGGAAGGCCTCCTTCTTCTCCCTACTGCGCGCTAGCGCCTTAGCTGCAGGTGTTAAAAGTGCTGTTAGTCGATTCCTCGTGGTCGGTTCTCCTAGATAGCGTGCTTTCCTAGCGGTTTCCAGAAAACTCGAAGTTGGTGTTGAAGGCTGAGTGGTAGTCATCGTCAGTTTCTGCATTTTGCGAAGAGACTTCTGCAATGGCAAAACCATCCGAATGTACGGCTTCTCCGATACTCTGTGCGAGTCTTTGATCATCCAGGAATGTTTTGTAGTCGCGTAATTCGGCCAGAAACTGATTGTACACGACTTGTATGTTTTGAAGTTGGCCTGTGGGGTGTTTTCCCTTTCCAGTCTCAGAGTAGACACCGAGTTCTTCAAACTGCAGCGTCAAAGCAGCCAGCTCGTCATCGATCGAGTCTGGACGGACAAGAGAGGTAACGACGGACATGATTGCTGTCTTTTTTATCGTTGTGAAGCTAGGAAGCTAGGAATAAGAGTTGATGTAGCGTTGAAGATTGCAATAGTAGCACAATACGTGAGCAAGCTACATGCAGAATTGAGCATTGCCTCATAACAAGCATGAAACCGAGTTTCATAGCTTTGAGGGAAGGCATGGCATGGTACCCAATTACAGCAATATGATAGGAACAGAGCCCAGATGCGCAATCACCAAAGCAACGCGTACCTTTCTATGGCTCAACCCCGCGCAACCAAGCCATTTGCAGCGATTATGGCTGTAACCACTAACGCACTTCTGCGTTATTAGTTCTCTGATATAATGAGTTGCAAGTAGAAGCAGCACACGTACGAAATGCTAAAGTTTGTAAAATTACATGTCAAAGTGGTACTGCCGCGACGTACTCGAAGGATCATTTGCTTCGTATGTTTCTTGGCCCCGGTCGACCACGCAACATGAACTTACATCCACAGCTATGCAGGGGCAGGGGATCGATTTCGCTACCATGCAAAGTGGCCACCAGCCACAGCGATTCCTATGGACTTGGCTATCGCAGTTAATCTCCACTCCTGACTAGCGTATCCCGCTTGACATCGCATCCCACAACCAAGACGGCTAAACGGCGAGCAATCTACTCACCCGCACCCGCATACCCACTTCCAACTTGCTCTGTGATGGCTCCATGTTGGGGTAACTCAGAGACGTCATTCTGCCACTTCCTCATAAAACAAGCACTATTGCTATTACTTTTCTCTTGCCCCTCTTCCACCTACACACAATCCATCCCCCCTGATTTCCAGTCTCAAAGTAGCATTGACATCCAAGTCTCGCCCCAATACCACACCGTCTTCTTCATAAAAAAAATAACCCCCCCTAGTCAAAATGTCCGGTATGTAGGACTATAGAAGCTCAGTGCTTCATAATGAGGCTAATGTATCATTACTTACTGCCAGACCAACTCGATGACAAGTTCCAAAACACTGGGAGTGGTACGCAGGCGGCGCCACCGACGGCGCAAGGGCAAGGTGGAAAAGCCGACGATGCGGGTGCGAAGGAGGGTGGGGAAAAGAAGAAGTAAATGACTCGATCTGAAGCGCTTTTTATACTGTTATTCAGAGGTGAGATGCTGGCTTGAAGACGAGTTAGATGTGCACATGAATGGTTTCGCGGGTATGACTGCGCGAAAAACACAAAACAAGTGTTAAAACGGTGGTGACCAGTGCTTAGTATATGCACTACGGCGATGTTTTATTTTTCCTTTCACCCTTTTGTTTCATTTGTATGGATGTATGGATGCTGTTGCGTGCCGTGGTAAATGCGGGGAACCTCGAAGTACAAGCCTGCGTCGTCATATTGACGTTGAAACCCCACGTCCTTGTACCTCAATGATGCGCTTTGCGCGGTCCTAGTCGCTCAAGATTCTTAGACCGTATTGAAGACCTTTCATAGAAAAAGGATACCGTTGGCTATGAGAAGTCGGCAAGGACGTCGCAAAAGGCGGCGCAGAATCAGGAGGAGTATGAAGCGAATAAGGCGCACTCGAGTATAGGCAGTAACACCCATTCAGGGACTGGCACGGATTACGTCGATCGCAAGGATACCAAAGGTGATGAGAAGCAGAGAAGGGAAAGCGATTGAGATGTAGCATGGAATGATGGTTCAGGCGTGGCAATAAACGCATGATGATCAAGGAAATGAGGAGATGGATCAATTTTTCGACTATCTAAATGGTCTCGGGTCCACTTGTGTACATGATGATTATCGTATTCCACGCTGCAAGACTTCTAGAGCTTGACAGCTACTCACAAACATTGAAATCCCATTCAGTACTAGCAGTTGCCTCTCATTAGAAGCCCTTCCATCCACACTGAAAGTCACGCTTCCAGCCGGCACCTTCAGGCTCCCAGTCGGCGTCATTCAAGTCTTGACACCACAAGTCTGTTGAGAACAAAGGTGACTTTTTGCCTTGCTTCTTGCACTCGTCCTCGCACACTTGAACTGCAAAAGGTTTGTCTTCGATAAATGTCTCGGTTGTCATGTACGGCTTGCAACCCGCTCCTGGGAAAAAGTCGCAGCCTGGTACGCTCTTGCTCATGAGGAAGCTGACCCTGCATTTGCTGACATCGCGTGGGTCGGAAACAGTGAGGTCGATTTCGAAAGGCATCTGGTGCTCGACAGGACGTTTGATTGTTTTGATAGTGTCGGTCATGTTCATCATGTTATTGCCTTTGGTCTGGTGTTCGCCAGCATGATGGCCGTTTGGATCGATAAGCACCCATTTGATCTCGGAGTACTCGGCCACCATGTGCTGTGAAATGTTGACCTTCCAGTATCCATTCTTGTCCATATGGCCCAAAGTTGGCGAAGGTGGTGCAAAAGAAGTCTTGGTCGATTGTTTGCTAGTGGATGTCGTGCTAGTAGATTTCGTGCTAGTAGATCTCATGCTAGTAGACTTCATGCTTGTCGAGTGCTTGCTCGTCGAGTGCTTGCTCGTCGTGTTGCTGGCAAAGGTAGTCGATGTGTTTAGAGGATCGCGGATGATGTTGTTGCCTTCGTCATCATTGAGAGAGAGCGGTGCCCGAGTGCATGCTGGCGCATCAGACGTAAGAGTATTGGTTCCTGTCATCGTTGTCGTAGTGTCAAAGCCAGGCATTGCGCCGCCACAAACGGTCACCGTGGCGTCAATCATTGGCACACAAAGGGAAGAGATCATGGTCGATGATGTTCCTCGTAAGCTGGAGGGAAGCGCCGAGACATTGAAACCTTCTGTGCACCATACAAAGCGCTCAGTAACAATAGTCCTCTTGCTGTCATCACAGTCTTCAGGATCGGGGCGGTTTGGCGGTTTTGTCGGTGCAGGTCCTGGCTTTGGTCCGCAGCCGCCGGGAAGCGTACATCCTGGACGAGAGCAAAGCTCTGGTGGGCAAGGTTCACACCCCTTTCCTGGACAGTATCCACCGTATCCTACGATTCCCTCTGGCTGTGTGCCCGGGCATCCAAAGAATGTGCAAGGATTGCAGCCGAAGAGACCACAAGGAACCGTGAGGTCAACCTCTAACCCAGGACAGCCAGGGCCAAATCCGATCCCCATCCATCCGCAGCCGCACCCAAAAAGCTTGCAGTCTGGTTTTTTCTCCTTCGGACGTGAAGTGGGTTTGGGCTTGATCTTTGGGTCGTCACGGTCGCTGTCGCTCGGGCTATCGCTTTCGCCGTCTTTGTCGCATTTCTTTGGAACGCATGGACAGATGGGCCGCTTTGTTATCAAGAATGTGACAAGGCGCCACTTGACGCATTCGGAAACGCAGTCATTTGGCTTGCATTCTGGGTCACTATCGGAGTGTGAGTCTGGATCGCCGTCGCTATGCTCGTTATTCTTCGGAGCACCCCACCACCATGGCAGACACCAATGGCTATTCTCAGGAAGTCGACATTCGGGCGGAGGCTGGACATAGTCAGGTCTAGGAAACTTCCAACCCTCACAGAATATCTTGCACCACTCGAAACCCCGGCACTGGTCAGGACAGCCGATAATAGTAGGCAACGCTTTCGAGGAGGTAGCGATAGGAATGGGAGTGACCATTGGCGGAGTACCGCTGCCTTGGACTGAGGTTGGCTTAGGGCTCACGGTTTCGCGATCGGAGGATTTTGCTGCTGAGCTGCTATGCGTTACGGGAGGTGGTGCTTGACCCGAAGAAAATGCCACAGAGGTACCTGGAGCCGGCAAAGATATGACGGCCATTGATGTAGATACCCATGGACCCGGAAAGACCGATATCGAAGGAGCGTGCGAGGAAGATACCCCGGGCGTTGACCAAGACACAACAGGCACTGGTAAAGATATACCCGGTGCTGGTGAGGATACGGCTGGAGCTGGGAACGACATGATGGGAGCTTGTGACGAAGAGAAGCTGAAAGGTGGCCAGATTACGCCGGGCGCTGACGAAGAAGGTACTTCTGGGACTGTCAAAGACACTCCCTGAGTAATGGATCCGAATTGTGAGCTGGCCTGGTCGCTGAAAGCCCCAGAGGATGGGAGGGAACTAGGAACGATGGTTGTGCTGAAGAGGCCTGTCGGGAGGTCCAATGGGCGCGAAAGTGGTGCACTTGGTGAGCCAACATTTGAACTGCCCTGGTCGCTGGAGGGTGTTGCTGAGCCACCTGGTCTGCTAGAAGCCCCCAATGAAGGCGCAATGAGAAAACCACCAGTCGAGCTAGGTGAGTTGCTGGAGGATGGTTGAAAGCTGCTCTGTCCACTTGACCAAGACGACGAAGAACCTGCAGGAGAGCTCGTAGTTGAGGAGCCAGCAATTGAAGAAACAGATACCACAGGACCAGGCAATGAAGTAACACCTATAGGGTGACTAGCGACGGAAGATGGGGCAATGGAAGGCTGGAGTGGCAGGCTTGAAACTCCTGAAGGAGTTGGATTGAATACCGGTGCAGCCGAAGTACTTGCACCAGCCGAAGATGCTGACCCAGAAGGTGCAAAGCCACTTGAAGTAACCATGGAAGGCTGTTGACTGCTCCAGATTTGCGATGATGGGATGAGCGAGCTACTCCGTGTAGAAGATGCGGTTCCGATTGGTGCAATGAATGTCGATCCTGCTTCAGATGAAGGTTGGCTATTCGATGGAGTAGGGGTAGGCGACGCCGAACCTTTCCATGAAGAGGGTGTATCAGAATGGCTTGATCCGATCTGAGATCCTGTGTTACTGCTCCAAACCGTGGAAGATGGAGAATTGGACTCTTGGGCTGACTTTGTGTATGATGGAGCAATCGAGGAAGCAATCGAAGGTGCAACCGGGGGTACGATTGGAGGTGCAATCGAGGGGACATTCGAAGGAGCGATCGAAGGAGTAGCCGAAGGAGCCATGGAAGGGACACTCGAAGCGGCCTCTGGAGGAACAGGCATCATCGAACTAGGGCGGGTATCGGAAGAAGGACCCAAGTTGACTGAGCTACTGTGTGGTTGTGGAATAGCTGAACCCTGTTCAGAGGTCGTGAATGAAGGAGCGTTTGAAGGAATAGGCTGCGTAGGCCTCATCGGAGCGGAAGGCAAGGGCCCTGGTTCAACAGAGTTTCCAGGTGGTGGTGGTGCTCCAATCCCTCCATCGCAGTGGTTGTAATCGATGGCCCAGAGAGAGGTGCCCCCAAGGCATCGCTTGTTGGCCAATTCCAACTTCATTCCGAGAGTCTCGTCGTCGTCGTATCCTATCCACTGGTTTTCCCAGGCAATTTCCTTGACACTAGCACCTCCGGGGATGATCTGAGGTGTCAGACCTTTTGCCCGGATGATCCTTCTAATCTCGCACGCACTGAGCAGACCGTCTTCCTTTGTACAGCTACCAGCCATGCTTGGGCCAGTAAATTTGCAGCCATAGTACTTGCAATTCTGATCGGCTACTGTGAAGCCGCGCCCGTAATTGGCCACACCCATGTTGATCTTGGACGGCTCAAGTTGAGCAGCCCGGAGAAGGTCCAAAGCAGAGTCAATCTCGGCCAAGTCGGTATGAGGCTTGATCTTGGGTCCCAGACCATTCACAGTGGCGTCCCATGGTCCATGAAGGTCGTAAGTGAGAACAGTGAACCAGTCAACAGCGTCTTGCATCTTCAGGGGATCCATGCTCTTGAGATACTCGTATTGGGCCGGAAGAACAACAGAGATGCCGAAGTCTTTCCCTAGGCTGTCGCGAAGCTCGTGGACCAAGTCGACCTGGTTCTGGGTATCCGCTGGATTGCCGCCGCGGCTCGTGGTGCCAGGCCACTGCCAATGAAGTTCGATCGCAGAGAACTTCCACTTTTGGAGGAATTGCTTGAGTGAGTCGATGAACGCCTTGCGGTTGGACTTGGTACTGGACATGTCGGACCAAGCAGTACGCGTCGGTCCTTCGTTCGACATGTTCCATCCACCAATAGCCTTTGGTTCAGTCAGTCCCGATACTGTATGGACACGATCAAAGTGTACTTACAAGTCCTTTGGAAACGCTGTTGGACAACCGAAGAAACTGCCTGTAAGTTTCTTCGTCTTTCGGGTCCTGCATACCAACAGCAAAAGTCTTTGGATCAAAGACAGCGAAGCTGAGAACAATGTGTGTGAAACCGGTGGTGTTGAGACGGCCAGGCCAGATCTCATCACAGTCGCGCTGACGCATGTTCGAGGCTTGGAAGTAGGTGACCCGACGCCTTGCGCTGTTCTTGTCGCATGTCGCAGCGGACCACTTGACGCAGTTGCTTTGACAAGGTGTGGGAGCGCCTGACTGAGTCTGAGAACGACAAAAAATATCGGATGCACCGCAGAAACCGAAGTGTGAGCAGCAGAGGTTCAGTGGGCAGGTATTTCGGCCGTCATCACTGAACTTCCCGCAAGGCGCCTTTGCTTGACAGTTGGAAACGCACTTGGCTGGTGATACTGGAGAACAATGCTCGGGACGGTATCCGCAATAGCCTAAGTTCGATTAACACATTTTGTAAGGGGGGCCACTGCGATAGATACATACCATCGCTATTGCAGCAAGCGCCATCAATACAGGGCCTAGAGGCGCTGCACTGGAACTCGATGTCGCCCTTGACAGAAAGATCGAAGTCTCTATCGGTTTGCACTCGAATATAACCCTCGGTGAGCTCGAGGGTAGGTGGGACGCCAATGGGGTTGGAGCTAGCTGCGAAACAAGCAGCCAGCAGCCCGAAAAGGGCAAGTATCAGTAAGCGCATCGGGAAAGAACCCTGATGCTTCGTGGTGTTTTGTTGACAAGTAGATGATGGGGGCAGAAGGGTGAGATGAGGTTGTTGGGGAATGAGTTGAGAGGAGTTGTGGACAAAAACTGAGAGGGCGGGGGAGAGGGGCGATATATCGGTGGGCAAGTGATTGGAAGTGGCGCTAGTGAGTGATAGTGAAGTCTGCGAATGCGGAAAGCGCGAGAGAAGAAGGGTGAGTGCGCACGGACGATGCGTGAAAGCAGCGACATTACTATAGCATCCCCGAGTTAGTGTGTTTCCATATGCTAAACTCTCTTATCAGAACGGGGGTTCGAGTCTGGATGAGTAGCCTCCTACCTAGAGTATCAGGGATCGATACAGAATGAGGAGATGCAGTCCACCTTTTCTGTGTACATAACTTGAGAAGATACTGGAAGTTCATCGAGAGGGTTGAGGTGGGAATGCAGAGTTGACGTGTGTACATAATGCGAGGTCGAGTTCAACACCGACTCCATCATCTCCTGAAGAAATCGAACTCTCTCTCATTGGGAAGACTGGAAATTTGCCGCGCATTTTTTCAAGTCAAGCGTATGTGCATAGCGTTGTACATTTTACGGTGTGCTAGCGAAGGAATTTCGATAAGACGACACTGAGGTCGGACTGACATGGCAGTGGCCCTACTATCCGTGACGCGCTTAAGGTAAGTACGCTAGATTCCAGAATTCCCTCCCCTCTCCATTGAACAGCACTCGAGCTATGGATATACATCTCCTGGCGGTCCATGCGTGACAATCACACTGTGCCTTCCGAGAAAACGTTATGATGGTGCAGTTCTTATTTCCGCCGCCCACTGCAGCTACCTGAGCTCTACCCATGAACTTCAGTCTTCGCATACCCATCGAGCAGGTCTAAAGGGGAGTCTCATTAGGGGTACTTGTCAATGATCTAATCGTAAACGGAGTTGTTCAAGGTGCTTAGCGGTTCAGATTGCGAAAGCCCAAATCACAAAGATCTGCGTAGATGCATTTGTTTCGATACTAACAAAGACAACAACAGTTAGATTCTATCCAGTCTCAAGACATACAAACAGTGTCATATTCCAAAAGGTGCCTTTTATTTCACAACTTTGTGCACAAAGCAGTCGAGACATACCAATCTCTACAACGGCGTTCCGCTCTCGATAGTAAAACAGCTCAACACTATAGAACCAGTATTCCAAACCTTTTAGTTGCCCAGAGACATGCACAAGTAATGATGACGGCTGCATGCACCTCCCAGGTGCTTGCGCAATGCAATATCTGGATATACTTTTACCCAGATGGCGTGTGCGCACGTCCCTGCATGGCGGGGTCGCACTAACGTCATTTGGAGTCATTCGATCACGACTTTCCTCGTCGTACGCCAGCATCGCGTTCCATGAATATCACGCCCTCAGCACCACGAGGATGGCGCAGTCGCCTTTTTATGGTGATGTACCGGGCGCCATGTTGCCACCACGCCTCTCCATAGAGCTCGACCGTACCGATCCCGGTGTCTCTTTCCGCGCATCCCCCTCGCATGTTCACCACACATGGGCCCGAACATTCCACTCGCGACCGGAGCTCTATATCCGCCCACGGAGCCTCGAAGAGGTCCAGAAAGTGGTCAATCTTGCGCGTCGCATGCGGAGACGAGTCGTCACTGTAGGATGTGGACATTCGCCCTCGGACTTGACATGCACCTCGTCATGGATGGTCAACCTCGACGATTTCAAGCGCGTGTTGGATGTGAACAAGGAGCGCAAGACAATGACAGTGCAGGCTGGAATACGCATGCATAGCTTGAACCTTCAGGCCAAGTCCTACGGTCTGACAATGCCAAACTTGGGGTCCATTGACGATCAATCTCTAGCTGGAGCGATTGGTACAGCGACGCACGGCAGCTCGTACAACCACGGTCTCCTCTCCGACCGCGTCCAAAGCTTGCGGATGGTATTAGCGAATGGTCAGGCAGTTCGATGCTCCCCGCAGCAGTCTCCCGATCTCTTCCGCGCGGCATTGGTATCACTGGGTGCATTAGGTATCATCGTAGAGATTGAATTCCAAATGGTTGAGGCAAACAGCGTGGAGTGGATACAGACCATTCAGCCAATCGAAGATGTACTAGCCGATTGGAACAACGGACTATGGACTTCCAACGAGTTTGTCAGGGTATGGTGGCTTCCATACATGAAGCGTGCGGTAGTGTGGCGCGCAGACAAGACCACCAAGGCGCATCGGCAACCGGAGTACAATTGGTATGGTGGCAGTGTCGGCTACCACACCTACCACATCTTGCTCTGGATATCACAATATGTTCCGCGCTTCTTGCCTTGGGTCGAATGGTTCGTCTTTGGCATGCAATACGGTTTCAAGGACGGAGCTGTCATCTCCGGGGTCGGCGAACAACGTACTGAACTCCTCATGAACTGCCTCTACTCTCAATATGTGAACGAATGGAGTGTCCCTCTTGACAAAGGCCCCGAGGTTTTGACTCGCCTCACAAACTGGCTTCATGGGGACGAACAATCTTCTGGCCTCCCGTTTAGCACTAAAGGTCTCTACGTTCACTCGCCTATCGAAGTCCGCATCACAAATACTGTCAACCGGGAACCGCGTCCGTATCTTGATACTTCTTATTCGAACACGCCCGCCCTATATCTTAATGCCACGCTTTACCGACCCTATGGCCAAGATCCGCCTTGCCGCGAGCGCTACTATGAAGCCTTTGAGCACCTGATGAAGGAGTACAACGGACGACCCCACTGGGCAAAGAACTTTCAGTCTGTAGACCACAGCTATCTCTCTTCGGTATACGGCAACGATCTTGATGAGTACAACCGTGTCCGCACTGAGGTCGACCCTGAAGGCATGTTTCTCGGTGCCTGGCACCGCCGCACTATTCTCCCTCCTAAGACCGACCTTCCTCTGCTACCTCTCGAAGAAAAGGAAGTCGTGCGCCGAAGTCGCCGTACCGGTGGCGTGGATTGGATCGGTGAGCAGGCGCGCTGGTTTGACGGTGGCCTTGATGTCTTTGAGAAAGCTGGTAGCGACTCTGGAGAGAGCTTCGATCTCATGGCCGAAGCTGAGGCGCACAGTAGCGTGCTACTCGAAGGTTTGACAGATGAGTTGATTGTTACGGAAGACAGCTATAAAATGGAGGTTGAGAGCAGAATAAGGGAGGATACAGAGGAGTACATGACCGGAACAAACGTTTTCAACAAAATGTAGAATTGTATGGCACGAATAGACGGTAAACAGCATGCTGCAAGGTATATGAGAAAAGCTCATCGATCATCGATCGCATTGCATATATTGCATTGGGAAACCTTCCTACACGTATTTCGAGTCAATAGAATATGAAATTGTCTGTACAATCCTCAAAGGTGCCTGCTCAGCAGCATATCATGAACACCCGGGTAAGATTGATGCTCTAGCGTGCCTATTGGGGTAAAGCGCCTGCGGGTAAGTGCGCCCGACTTCCTATTGTCACATCTCACCCTTTTGACCGTACACCTCAAAGCATGCAGGTATTTACAGGACCCCACTAGATAGTATAAACACCTTTATGTCGCCCCCCAAATACCCCCTAAATCTAGCATTCGGTAATTTAGGAGCTTGCCCCATTTACGCGACTCGGTGAGTTGTCGTCCGAACTCACTCCTGGGATTGATAAGACTGCGGATCTAGAGGCGTCTCCACCAATCTCGATGCTGTATTGAGCGATTGAACCACAGGGAAGTACAGCTAGTACAAGAATATAGTTTCCCGCAATGTTTGCCGACGGCTTGACCATGTCAGGTCGCTCTTCATTCGGAGGCCTTCCAACTCTGGATGATGAGTCTCACCGCCTTTAGTCTTCGCCATACGGCCTGAAAAATTGTGGTAAGTTATTTCCGATTCCCTAATCACGACCCACAATGCCCCGTTTCTTGGCAGCATCGTGCATTGCTTGGCACATCCGCCGAACTGTTGCGAGGTGGAGCGTGTTACATGGCGGAAGCGACTGACAGCTTACAGATGTGCGGAGATGACACACTGCATGATTGCGGACGAAAATAAGCGCACAGAAAGAAGTTGATCAGGACATTTAGAAGTAAATGTATATACAAATTCCGACACTGCCTTCTAACCACTCACTGTCACCTTCGAGCGAATATACGAGCACAGTTGTCTGATTGCTCACTGCATGCCTTTACATGGTCTGCACATAAATCTCAGAGTTTCCAGAAGACTGGTAACCCTCAGTGGCGACAATCTGGTAGTAGTGCGTACCGAGGTTCATGCCGTAGCGGGACCAGGCGTTGAAGTGGTTCTGCATGTTCACGCTTCCACCAACACGCTTCTGGGTACGGACAGACCTGTCATTGTCAGCATTTACATTTCAGTTTAATCAGTTCCACAATCACTTACCAGTACTGCTGAAAGGTCCTTGTACCGTCAATGGAGGGCTGGTTGTAACGTGTAGAGGTGGCAATGTCGTAAGTACCACCGTCAGTCTGGAAGCTTCCCTTGCGCTGGGCTCCACTGCTGGGGTTGTATGTGCCGTAGGATTCAATCACGTAGTATTCGACGAGCGGGTTGCGGGTCCATCCGTACACGGCGAGGTAGCCGTTGCCCTGAGGGTTGAAGGATCCACCATAGTTGATGGTACTGCGGGGACATGTCAGTCAATACCTTAACTACGCCCACAAGCTTTGCATCCTACCGTCCGTTTCCAGGGTTCCATCCCTTGCCTCCAACAAAGTTACCGGTGTTTCTCCAAGTCACAGAGTACTTGCTTCCCTCACCCATGGTGTACTGGGCAGAGCCGCCGCCGTCGGTCCACCAGGAGTAGAAGTAACCGTTGTGGTATCCCTCAGAGCTGGGGGTAGACTGGCGCTTCTCGAGAAGAGCAGTGGCGTTGCCATCGTCGCGCTCAGCGAGAAAGTCAAAGGGAGCAGCGAAGACGCTGGTGGTAGCCACAGCGGCAAGGAGAAGAGACTTGAAAGAAACCATTGTGCAGTTAGTGTTGCTGATCTGTACTGGATGCAGTGAGGCTACTGACTGCGTGTAGCGATCAACTTATATGTCTACGCCGAGTGCTAGATGAGCCTGAATCACAGGATGAACTCCTGCTGAGGGTGTCATGAGGTCTCACCTCGCCTGTTGCCTCTATCCGTCTTGGTGTACAGGTTGATGGCTGGTTGGAGCCTCTCATTTCGAGATACTCGCCCTAAGCATTGACCAAAGTGACCAAGTCAAGGCACATGCGGCAAATGCACGGATTGGTTTCCAGCTTCGGAAACCATGGCAAAGATACGATGACCACCAAGATCCGTAGCCCTTGCTCAAATCTGCACAGTGTAATCAAAAAAGCGTTGCTGTACCCGGTCTTTACGCGCTGTTTCAACCCGGTTCAGAGGATGTTAATATACGAGAAAACGCCACATGTATACAGGCGATTTACCCCACATTCCGCGGGCTGTATCACGGCCCAGGAGGAACATCCCTCGTACTAAGCACGCATAGGCGATGGATATGCCAAGTGTTGTAATGCACGTGAGGAAGCTTCGCGCGCTCATAGCGGAAACCCTCGGCAACTTCTCACTTTACCACCGGATGAACAGGTCCTGCCAAGCTATGCAGTAGCCGGCATTTCTACCGGAAGCAGGACTGCACGCCAAGCGCGGTGGAAATCATGAGCGGATCTAATGCTTGGAGTGCAGGCGAGGGTCTCGATGTGGGTAAGCCGGCGGAGAGAAGTTCTGGAACAAACCACGAAATTGAACGAGACGCGTGTATTCGAGAATATGCCGATAAGGCATCAAGTCGCATGGCAATCGAAAACTGTGTATTGCTCATATTTATGACGTGGTTCCGAACATCTTGCCAATCCTTCAACTCGATATCCGGATGTCCGACTTGTTTGGGAAGGTTGCTCGAGGGACATGTACACTAAACAGTATGGGGAGGAAGCGATAGCAGGTATTCACCAGACTACTGCAATCCAGTGTAACGCCAAGACCAAACATATCACACGTAGGGAAATGTTATGTGGGTTGAGAAATTATCCTATGCAGCATTCGACATACGAAGACACCATACGGTGGCAACTCGATCCTTTTCACTGGTGCGACATGAGACTCTAGTCTCAGTACGCATATTCAAAGATCGGACCGGCGGTCTTGGAGATCGCACTGGTGCTATTTTTGGGATGGGATGGCGTGCAAGCGCGTTGCGACATTGCTATATCTTCTGGATATGCGGCACGACATTTCGAGTTGTACGAGAAATCAACACACGGAGTCATCCCGTGGTGGAGCCACCTAGTTCTGCAGGCAAAACTCCCAAATTAAAAAAGGGGAAAAATAGATAATGGAAACTGATCGTTGGGGACCAAACGCTACTCCAAAATAGTTTGGTGTCTATATATCTCCCGCACACGAATTCAGCACCGGCCAATTACTTGGGCTTCTGTCATTTCTATCGGAACTGGCTCGATATTGATGATGGTAGTATTGCTTAATTCAGGGGTGGCGAGGTTAGCACGACCGATCATAGGGTTCTAACGCAATCCTTGGCTTCAGTGTCTGGCTGGCCTGCTCCTCTGTCGCTGACTACAGAACTGCTTCTCCTTCTTTTTGGCAGCCTTCAGTACAAGACTGCATTCATGTAGGTCTCTGCTGCTTTTACCAAGTTCTTTCTCTAGACATCTCACCAAAGCAGGCACAATTCTCTTCTTGTTATCTGCTATGGATAAGAGGAATGGTGGCGAAATCCTTCAAGCAGTCATGAAAATTTCATCTTTCAAGGGGACCCGTAAGTACCGTCCTCGGTAAAAGCCTTAGGAGAGCCATTCTAGGCCCCTTGATCATTTGCGATACAGTTCTCTTCTTTCACGATGCGCCCTGACATCCGGTTGCCCTCGTTACGCGCCACACTGCTATTTCATCGAGTCGAGAACCGTACGAGGCATCAGAAAGTTGAGAACATGACTGCCTTTGGAAAACTCGGTTCAAAAACACGAGAAGGATATACTACACAGTTATACATCAGTGAGGAGCTATGATGCCTGGTCAGTTCAATGGAGACCAAGTCTCAAGGCTGTCAAATAGCATGACTGCGCTGTAAGATCACAATGTTGGTAACAGGCATAGATGCAATATTTGCCTTCCTGTGTATGCTCGGTCTGGACTGATTGAAACGATCTCTCCTGGCAGACTTTCGTCGCCCTCGCTCTACAGAAACATATCTCACCCTCTGTTCAAGCCATTATCATCGCCATACGAGAAAGTTACACGAGGCTTTGGGGTTGCTTGATGGTAGCTTGATCCGGTGGGGTACAGTGAGTTCTATGTTCTTTGCCCAGCTCATCAAGACCATGGCCCAGTCATGACTGACATTCCTAATCATGTATGCATATGGCTTTGTATTCTCGCACTACACATCTATGTCATGTTGTACAGCTATGAGTGCCTAATCGTGGCATTTCCTGTTTCACAACAGATCCATGCTATCCTTCAAAGCCACGCTAGCTTATATAGGCATTGCCACGTGTTTAGCTTACACTGATTATGCGACTACTGCAAAGATCAAAGACATTAACAGGGATGATATCACTACGGATCGCAGTAAAGACTACACGAAGTGGGCCTCTCCTCCACTTGAAATACCAGGAACTTGAGTAGCTGGACCTCGAGCCTGAAGCTGAAGATGAACACTGTTTAAATTGAAAAAGGCTGCAGAGCAATAAAGTCACCGGTCATCTACTTTCGGGTTTCTCAAAGCGAAATCTAACGACGTTGAGATAGATTTTCGGGTGTACGGATCATAGGCAGGATACATTCACATGCTGTCTTTACAACTCGGGTCATCCCGGGTCATGCTCAACGCACAAGAATAAGCAATATATGCAGGAAAGTGGCGAAAGAGTTGGAAATGTTCAAAACTCGACTCATTCCAGTGTATCTGTTCGTACTACTATCTTGAGTCTTGGTGTTGGCGAATACAATACTTGACTGGCCATGACTCGTACATAGTCCAGACCAGGACTCACGTACGCCATTATGTTGGACGCTGACGATTGGTTAGGAGCTGTCATACATGCCGGATGTCCGGACCAAACCCCACAGCAATGCCTCCACACTGTGTCATCCTGCTTCGGTTTGAAGACACTCACATCTTCTCTGCTATGATGCAACTGTTCAGCACGAAATGGAACGTTTGCTACTCACCTGGGAACGATGAACTTGCAGAATGTGGCACTTTCAGTCTCACTCCATTTCACAGAAGACGAGTTTTGTTAGCCTGGCGGTTACGTCAATCGACCTATGGTTGGCCCCAACCAACTGGGGTCGGCTTACGAAGCAGACTAGGGATCTAGCCACCCCAGCGAAAGGAAGTGTTGGGTAAGCCCCCTTTCAACACTGAGAGACCAAACACCGCGTCTATACCCTGATATATGACAGTCCACTTAATGTACCGATCTCCCTATGCATTGCACATTATCTTTGCAGAGAAAATGTGCCTACTCAACAATATGCACGTCGTGTGGCAGGATCACGATTCATCTTGGAGTGGTCAAACCTAGCACTACACGTCGGTGCAATGATCTTCGGCCCACTTTCTACCCCGCGTTTCGGTGCATCCCGTCTACGCACATCCCCCATCCGACGTCTTGATGAAGATAAGCGATGCTGATCTACACGTTAATATCATCGACACTGCATGTGGCCAGACGCTCCATTCCGTCTCTTCCCGGCGTTAACCAGTCATGACTCAAAATCATACGAGAAGCCATGTGGCATGCCAAGCACATAGGTCGACCGTACAACTCTATCAAAGCCCCGGGACGGCATCCCGTTGGCTCTCGTCACAGACTCGGACTCGGAGTAATTCTGATCACCCCTTTTCGCGATCTGCACCGTGTCTCTCTGGCCCAAATGGACCGAATTATGGCCGGGATCCGCCACACACAACGTTGAGATATGATACTAAAACAGCCATGCTTGATCGCAGCCACGAGAATGGCTGCTTTGTGCGGATGCGCGCAGCTGGCGTTGCACAAAATGCGGAGACGACGCGGAGAGCCGACGCAAGCACCAACAGACGGTCAGCGAGCTTTATAAGCCTCCCCCCCCCCTCCAGCTCTTCCCTTTGTCCCGAGATTTACAGATAAATCCCACTTCCGCACCGCACAAGCCTTACATAGTAGCAGTTGTTGTATCAAAGCGGTTGCGACTTTCCCACAACAAAAAAGTATAATCACGTGATTGTAGCCTTTCACAGCGGATCCGCATTCCACATCCGTACCAGAACTCTGTGCTCCCTCAAACCTCCTCCCTGCCAATCTCGCCATTCCTAATATCATTCTATTATCTCACAACCACCACCAGCCCTCACCTACATCCACATCCACATCATCACAATGCCCGCCGTCACCCGCTCCCTCGAAAATGCGGTCCTTCAAGCCCATCGTGCAAAGGGAGTGCGCTACCCAACAGCCAATCAAAAAGAATGCTTTAAGACCTGGTATTCGTATGCACTCCGTCAGGGAGAGGTACAGAAGACGAGCCGAAAGGCCATCCAGGAGCACGGCAGGCAATTGAAGGAGATTAGGGAGCAGGCGCCTGGAGGCAGGACATATCTTTAATCAGTAAGTCATGACTCTATTACAGTCTTGGGTATCGTGGCTAAAATCTATATAGTGACTCGAAACTCTCTCTTTCGAACAGGTTTTTTTTTATCAAGATTGTTCGGACAGTATATAGCACGCTGGCACGAAGAATGTACGATAGCTAGTGGCGTAATGACCATCTTCAACAGTATTGCAGTCATCCAATTAAACTGAAATATTTGCCGTTCTGCTCCCATTTCTCATCTTGCAGTGCTGAAGTTCATTATAAAGCCGAAAATTGCTGGTATTGATCAAAAGAGTGTAGCAACAAGAACCTCCAGGTAAAAAATGACTTCCTCCGCTCTTGCCCCTCAATTCCCATCCTCCAAAATTTCTAAAAAAAAAACAACAATCAATGCAAAATCTACCCCAAGCTTTGAAGACTGAATGATCCGGAAGCGATGATGCATCGTTTACCGCCCAGATTTTACAGATCCCTTGTTGCATTCTAGTGACAAAATACTTTAATGCTGTAGTATCTGGTGGTATCGTAGCATGTTCCTTTGGCTACCTGTAGCTCACCAGCTGCAGGAGTGCAGTTGTAGTCCTTGTAAATGAAGGCTATGTTGCACCAGTCAGTTTACAACTACCCTGATGCAAAAGCAGCTATCAAGGTCTCGACAGCTATAAGAAAGAAGATTACTTACCGCGGCAGGTCTCTGCAAGCCACCAGACTTTCATGCCTTTTCCAGGAAGCCCGTGGCAGCCGTCGTCGGGATTTTGGAAGTCGCGCTGGCCACTGCTGCACCTGTCGGTGAATGTTCCAAAGGCAATTGCTGGGTTCTCGGTGACTGCAGCACCGGTAGAAGCAAGGAGAGAAGTAGCCAGGAAGGCAATGACGGAAGTGGAACGCATGATGAAGATGGTTTTCGTTTTGGGTGCTGGTAGAGCTGTAGGTGTTTGGTGGTTGTGATGATGTGAAATGAAGGGCAACAACGACCCTTATAACAACACTCCCTAAGTCCATTACCCCACCCACTTGTTCTCTCTTGAGCTTCTTACCTCACCGTACTTGGAACGATCTTTCGGCGCAGCATTGTATGAGGCTGAGCGGGATCGTTGGCAAACGGGCATCTTCACTAGCGGTGAGGTACGGTTCAGTAACAATCTGGACGTCGGCTGTGGGTTCTCCACTGGTGGTACCATAGTGACTTTCCCCATATAGAAATGACCTGATGCCTTGGCAGTGGGTAATTCGAGCAATGTGGCCAAGCCCAGCAGTCGCAATGGTGAAGGCTGAGGCACGCGGGGAGAGAAGCGCGGGACTGCATTTTCGACCAAGAGGTCGGGTAACGACCGTGACTATTGACCGCCGTATGCATGTGAGCTTGAGCTGAGTATTCTGAGCCATATGTGAGACAAGACATATCGCAGTAGTCGACTCGAGTCTAGTGCGAGTGATTCGATCAAGTGGATCGTCCAACGGGCACTTGCTCGAAGGAATGCGCGTGCATGGTCAAGTCAGGTAGCTTGGCGAGTCTGTTGTAGCACAGCCACCAGCTGATACATGTTACCCATGTTTGTGTGCGCTGGTTTCACCCGTCACTTGGGTGCTTGGGCCGGCGCTTGTGTGTATAGAGTCTTCAGCCTCAGGGTCGTGTTTGCATTCGGTATGGCACACAGCCTGGGAGGGACTAGCGACATGGGGCAGCAGCGGCTTACTGTCGTTCAAGCGCACCGCCCGGGCATGGTGTGAATAATCAAAACCATCAGCTCCGCAGTCCTGCTGGGGTTGACCGACTGAACGAAGAATTAGGCGGGCAAGCACCGTCCTCAACCACTTAGCGGTGCTTGGCATGCCCCATCTCACGTAAGCGTAGCATGTCAGGGTAACACTAAGTAGAGTGAAGTGCATCTTTGTCGTGTGTTGCGCAGTCAAGAATGTTTGCGACAAGCTCTAACGAGCACAGCTGTAATAATTTACTCACGATAGAGTTAAGGAATAAGTGCGTAGTTTTCATATCCGCCATGTGCTAGCAATATCCACGCAACATGTTAAAACCCGCCTCATTGACATCGTGCTAGCTCCGCCCGCACCTCAAAAAATGAAGCCCGGAAAGAGAAAAAAAGAAAAAAACATACAACAGCGGGGATTCGCCAGTGGTCACCCACCTGACTACTAATCCGCCGGTCTCCAGCTTAAATATTACCGAGCGAACGAGAGATATTGATTTCTAGAGCCTATGGTCGTATGTGAAAGAAATAACCCAATGTGAAAATTACCGAGTACACCACTTTTGGACGATGCTAAAAACCTTAGGCAGATTAGTCGCCAGTTTGAGTGTCATGTGATTTGCCTTTTTCTGATGAGGGGGTGCGTGAACTATGTCATTGTTTACCAGGATATAAGCTTCATGAACGTCACGATTGCTATCCTTGCGAAAGCTTTTCTTATGATGGTAGTTGGGATCATGGTGGGGTCAGGTGTTGGTGAAAATCTCCCAGGCTAACCGTCGGATGCTGCAAGCGGCTCATCTCTCGACATGCGAGTCCCCCATGATGGAACAGCACATGTTGCTCCACGCCCCAGAAAAGGCTTCATGTAAAAGAGTTAAAAAGCTGGCGATAGCCTACTCTCCTGACCCGTTCATGCATCCTCCATTGCCATCGTCTAGTAGGATATTTCCTGAGTAATATCTCGAAAATATGGGAATGAGCTGCCGTGCAGAAGATGACATTGGAAGCAGTGACGCAGGGTGGCGGGTGGGCGTGCAGGCGCCATTGGATCAGAGCCTCAAGATCGCGTCATGCAGGTACCCCACTCGGAAGCGGGGTATATGCCTGCACCACATAGATATTCATGTCGTCAATCATCTTCATGATATATATCAGTGGCTTCCTATCACTTCGCTTGCTTGCTGCGCCAGTGCTGCAACCGTACCGCTTCCCAAACCCAGCTTACTCAAGAATTGAGGTGACCGGTCTACCAAGAGACACCATCTTCCTTTCGCACTACTGAAGTAGTAAACAAGATAGGAAACGAAAATTACAACAAGAAGCATTCGACATGGCGCCTCAATCTTTCCGTGACATCCTCGGCATACCGCCCCATTCTGCTTCCACTAGCGACTCTGCCCTCGTCATCATCGACGCGCAAAACGAATACGTATGTTCTACAATAGTCATTTCTCCACAGTCTACCCAGAAAGTAAAGCTGACAACACAAGGCCGAAGGTAAACTCAAGGTAACCAATGCAGCCTCGAGCAGAAAAGTCATTGCCGAGCAACTTGCCAAATACCGCAAATCCGGTGGCAAAATCATCCACGTCATGCAAAAGGAAGCCGACGATTCACCAATTTTCACGCCGGGTACGAAATTGGCAGACATCACAACAACTTCGAGTTTTCTGGAAACCGCTAGAAAAGCACGCTATCTAGGAGAACCGACCACGAGGAATCGACTAACAGCACTTTTAACACCTGCAGCTAAGGCGCTAGCGCGCAGTAGGGAGAAGAA